TTCTCAAATCGCCGCGAAATTTCGGCGTTGGTTGTCTCCGTCGATAACCACCACCGACGAGTGGCTAACCAATAGCGCTGATTTCGGTAATTATTTTCTGATGGGATCCGACACCGACATAAATATCGCGTATCAAAGTTCGCAAGAGAGAGAATAGAAATATTGATTAACTGATTTGGGGTACTTGGAGGCAAAGTTTTACAATTTTTTGAATTTTGTTTTGGGTTAATTTAGTGTATTTATTGGTAAAATATGAATTAAATAATTAATTTATTTTGTAATTAAATTATGTATATTTATAAATATTTATTATAAGAACATGTGCGTTCATACAAGAACGTGTATGTATACAGTATATCGAGAGAGAGAGAGATGCAGATGTAGCATATTGAGGGTAAAAATGTCAAAATATGTTGCAGCTACAAAAGTAATTAAAAAAATGACAAAGTCAACTCGCCACATCATCATACACAAACGGATTTGAAACGGAGGGGCCATTTTGTTACGTTTTGTAGTTCAAGGGGGTGTTTGTGACAACACACATAGTTCAAGGGTGCAAACTGTACTTTCCATTTTTTTTTTATAAAAATTAGAGTAAACACATAAGTAGATAGCGCAATAAATCCCATATAATTTTTTTTTTGTTTTAGTTTAGAGAAATAAAGTTCATATTTGGCTACTCTGCATTTTGACCAAAGATATTGCCTTTTAGAATAGCTATCAGACAAGTTTTTACATCTGTGTTGGCCATAATGAATTGTTGGGAGATGACAATGCATACATATTCATATGATCCTACAATAATTATCAGAAAAGAAAAGTAGTATTGGAGATATTAATATTAAATAATATATTTCATTAATGTCTTTAGTTTTTGGTTGAGATGGTCATTCGATATCAAAGTCAAGCCAAATGAAAGGTCCTGAGTTTGAATCCTACTGCCACCCATTTCAAATATTTCAAGTGCAAGGCTTCAAATGTAATTCATCTGCACTTGAGGGGGTGTATTGGAGATATTAATATTAAATAATACATTTCACTAATCGGTTAAACTTTTTGTTGAGATGGTCATTCAACAAGGCCATAGAACCAGTTGACTCTGTGTCCCAATTTTGATCATTGAAGTATTCAATATCAGGTAACTGGGAAGGTTGAGGAGGAATTTGCAAATTTTCGATTTCCCCTTGGAGCATTTTTAAAACTTCACTCATTGACGGGCGATCAGTTGGGCTCATTTGTATGCACCACAATCCAACTATTGTCATCTTTCTTCTCATTTTTCTTGCATTGTCGTCGTCATCGTCATCATCGTCATAGTCATTTTTATCGGCATTTCCAATTTCGATGTCGTTGCCTTCATTCAAGTGATCATAAATCCAATATGGGAAATATTGGCTAGATTTGTTGTCATTATGCCTCGTACCTCTATTTAGCCCTAACATTTCCATCAATAACATTCCAAAGCTATAAACATCGGCCTTGTAAGAAACACGGCCAATGCTTCTATTCATTAGTTCAGGAGCCACATACCCTATTGTTCCCCTAACTGCAGTGAGAGTCACCGCTGTATTCTCCGTTGAATAAGACTTTGCGAGTCCAAAATCGGAGATTTTGGGTGTGAAATTATCATCTAGAAGTATGTTGTGAGGCTTTATGTCGAAATGTAGGATTTGGATGTTACATCCTATGTGCAAATATTCAATTCCACGAGCAACTCCAACTGCAATCTCAAACTTCCTCGCCAAGCTAAGCCAATTACTTGTCTCTTTGCTAAATAAGTACTTCTCGAGGGAGCCGTTAGGCATGAAGTCATAGACAAGGGCGCGTTTGGATCTTTCTGCACAATATCCGACAAGTTTAACCACATTTACATGATGGATCCTTCCAATCGTTGCAACTTCATTGATGAATTCTTGCCCATTTGCTCTAGTCTTGTTGCGTAGTTTGACGGCTACATCATGGCCGCTTCGAAGTTTCCCTTTGTAAACCGAACCATAACCCCCTTCGCCTAGTTTTTCACGAAAACCTCTTGTCATTTTTCTTATGTCTGAGTAGGAATATCGAATTGTTGTGAGACTTGTGTTACTTTGCAGGAACGCTTCTATTGTACTAAACAATGACAAATGCCTTTTTCGAAATTTAATGATCAGAAGCACAAACAAGGAAGGCAATCCAATTAAGATCCTCAGTCCTAGGTAGGTCGTAAGTATAAAAGCTGAAAGAAGTATAACAAGACAACAATCATTAATATAAGTGAAGGACTC